CGATTTTTTCTTAACTAAACTTAAAAATTTATTATTATTATAATCGCGTGAAAATAAATAAAACAAACGAACGAACAAACGAACAAACGACAGAAAACAAACGAATTCTCCGTCTCCGACTCAATGTCATTTAATACTAAATTTAAAAAAAAAAAAAAAAAGAAAGAAAGAAAATGACGAATGCGATAGTGAATGAACGTTACGTGCCAAATAAGGAGACAAAAATTTTTTTTATAACAAAACAAATTTCGTAATAATAATAATAATAATAGTAATAATAATAATAATAATAATAATAATAATAACAAATAAATAAATAAATAAATTAACAAACAAAAATTTATTACTTTAGGCTATTTTTTCTATTCCTTTCCTTTCCTACCAAACTCTATTATTGTAATTATTATTATTATTATTATTATTGTAATTGTTATTGTAAATAAATAAATTTTTATGTATATTAAATTATTATATATTAATTAAATTGTTAATAAATCGTTTAATAAAAATTATTTATTTATTTATTTATTTGTTAATGAGAAATTTGATAATAGAGAGAGAGAGAGAGAGAGAGAGTGATTATGAAATTTATATAATAATAATAATTATTTATTTGCGACAAATGAGTGAGAAAGAGAGAAAATGAATTAATGCAGATAATAAATAAATAAATAAATAAATAAATAAATAAATAACCGCAACAATAATCGTATAATAACTTTCTATATTAGAAATAAATAATAATTTTTTTGTTATTAACTTTCCAATTTTTTTGTAATTTAAATCGTTCTTCTTCCTCATCATTAATATTTAATTACATGTTTCCATATATAAATATATTCGGGGAGGGGATTGAGAAAGAGGGGGAAATGGGGGGGGAGAACAAACGAAAAAAGACAAAATTTGTTTTTAAATATAATTACGAAAATAATAATAGTAATAATTGTTAGCAAGGTTATTATACTCGTAATAAAAATGATTTCTCGTCGTCGTTATTTATTTATTTTTTTTAAATTAATAATTTTATTAATTTTTAAGTTATTAAACTATTAGTGACTGACGTTGCTTTTTGTTTATTTATTAAATGTCAGCAATAATAAAAAATAAAAATCTGCAAAAAAAATTTTTCGAAAAATAAATAAAAAAAGATTTTTTTGTTTTGTAATTTAAGATTTTTTTTCCTAAAAATGGAATTTAAAACGTTTTCGTTTAATTTGCAAAAATAACAAAATGAAAGTTGTTGTTGTTGTTGTTGTTTAATAAGAAAACAAACAAACAAACAAACAAAAAATTAAACTGGAAATTTAAAAAAAAATAATAATAAATTTTTTTTTTCATTTCAATCCACGTGGTTTACGTCGTGGTTTTGAATTTTTTTTTATTTTCTAATCGTCGCCAATGTTTTATAATAATAATAATAGTAATAATAATAATATGAATGTTTTAATTATTTTATAAATTTGTTGATTATAAAACAAACAGGTTTGTTTGTATATGAAATCAAACAACAACGTAAATGATATAATATTTAAATAATTGATTTCAACAAACAATTTATTGTTACGAATTGATTCATTCATTCATGTCATTCATTCATTGAATGATTGATTTTATAATTATATTAATTATATTTTTTTTTAATTTATCCGTTTACACGAAAAAACGTTTAAAAAAAAAAAAAAACCGCAAATTTTAAAAAGTTTTACGGTTCCTGATTATTTCGGTTTTTATTAAAAATAAATTTAATTTATTTATTATTATTATTATTGTTTTTTTTCTATACGAAATGTTTTTAGGGTCAGTTTACGGTAAATAAAAAAAAAAAAATTAACATAATAAATTTTTTTGCGGTTTTTTTTACGACGACAGAAAAAAATTTAATGTAAAACCTCAAAAAAAATTTTTTTTTGTTAATTCTTTACCGTTTTATTATCATTATCATTATTCAATTCGCTAGATAACACGTGATAATTTTAAAAATTATAAAAAACCTGAAAAATCAGGTTTGATTAAAAAAATTACTTTCACGTTATCATTATTAAATAGATTAAATAATAAAATTAAATTGTTTCGTTAACATTAAATGTTTTATACAAACTCGGTTGTT